GAAAATCCCCTCAGTTTGAAAAAGAGTCATTTGTGATGGTTTTTGGCCAAAAAGCATGGACCATAGCCCTTGGTTTTGATCGCTTTTGCACCATTTTCACACCTTTTTGATTTCCCTAGGAAAATCCCCTCAGTTTGAAATATAGTCATTTTGGATTGTTTTGATCTTTGATGGTTTTAGGCTAAAAAGCATGGGCTATAGCCCATGGTTTTGATCGATTTTGGGTGTTTTTCACACCTTTTTGATTTAGTTTGGAAAATCCCCTCAGTTCAAAAGAGTCATTTTGGATGGTTTTTGGCCAAAAAGCATGGACTATAGCCCATGGTTTTGATCGATTTTGCACCATTTTCATACGTTTTTGAGTTCCCTGGGAAAATCCTGTCAGTTCACAAAATAGTCATTTTTGATGGTTTTTGGCCAAAAAGCATGGACTATAGCCCATGGTTTTGATCGATTTTAGACCATTTTCACACCTTTTTGAGTTCCCTGGGAAAATCCTCTCAGTTCAAGAAATAGTCATTTTGGATGGTTTTTGGCCAAAAAGCATGGACTATAGCCCATGGTTTTGATCGATTTTGGGTGTTTTTCATACCTTTTCGAGTTCCCTGGGAAAATCCCCTTAGTTTGAAATATAGTCATTTTGGATGGTTTTTGGCCAAAAAGCATGGACCATAGCCCTTGGTTTTGATCGATTTTAATTTGGACCATTTTCACACCTTTTTGATTTAGCTCAGAAAATCCCCTCAGTTTGAAATATAGTCATTTTTGATGGTTTTTGGCCAAAAAACATGGACTATAGGCCATGGTTTTGATCGACTTTGGGTGTTTTTCCACACCTTTTTGAGTTCCCTGGGAAAATCCCCTCAGTTTAAAAAACAGTCATTTTTGATGGTTTTTGGCCAAAAATCATGGGCTATAGCCCATGGTTTTGATCGATTTTGGGTGTTTTTCCACACTTTTTTGAGTTCCCTTGGAAAATCCCCTTAGTTTAAAAAACAGTCATTTTTGATGGTTTTTGGCCAAAAATCATGGGCTATAGCGCATGGTTTTGATGGATTTTGGGTGTTTTTTACACCTTTATCAGAGGCTTGACACATTTTGGTCAAGTTAAAAATTAATTTTTATTATAATTTTGTACCTTAATTATAACGAATTTGAAATTAGGTAAATTTGAGATTGTCGAACCGCACAGGTAGTGGGTTTTCTTGTATGGTATATTCTCATACTGTCTTGGAGTGATGCATTTTGACTACCTAAATGCTTAGAATTAAGAGAGCATAAATATTTATTTTCTCTTGTTACAATTCATTTTAAAAAAAGCAAGGAATTTTTGACGAACGAAAATGGGCATGGGATCCCTGTGGTTTTGTTTAGATAGGTCCGTGATAGTCTGTCTAGTTTTAGTATCCGTTACTGTTATGTAAATCCCACTCCCGTGACGTCATTTCCGGTTGACGTCATATCTTCACGTGACCTAGAATTGTTTTTTAATTAGCCTTTCTAGTTTCTTGATTCGACTTGACTCAGGTTCCGGTGGATTCTGGGAAGGGGTTCCTCCAGAAACCTCGCCAGCAGACGGAGGGGTGGGAAGACGAGAGCGGAAGAGATCAAGCATGGTGTGTTGTTCGCTGCGTTTGAGCCCCTGCAAAAATAACCACAATTGCGTTAATCACGTCAAAACACAGGCCTTCATGTAGGGATGATGATAGTCAGGATAATGATAGTCAAGGGCTTATATATTATCAAGATTCCGAGCCACCTAAAGTAAAGTAACGTAAGTGAAGATGGTTAGGGAAAAAAATCTAGCGTTAATTAATCCAAAATGTCTAGGTTGCTGCCACTCCTTGCTATGGCTTGTAATTTTGGCAAAATAAAGACCTTTTGTTATGCCTGACAGCAGGGGTTCCTACCACATTGACGAAATACAGACGTAGATTTACATGACGATAAGCACTATCTAACCTTCATATCTAGCAGTTTTTGGAAGTTGGATGTATCAGTATCTGCGAGGAGTTTGATGTAGTTATCTACGAAACCAACGGCCGGATCGTGAGGGGACATGACAACCTGAAAAGAAACAAATAACGAAAACGTTCCTTTATTAAGTTTGGAAGCGACATGATGTCTGAAAAGTACTTCTAAGAGAAGAGCTGATCACCATCACCATCATCATTACCACTACCGCCACCATCATCACCACTATCACTACCACCACCATAAACGTCGCTACCACTAGCACCACCATCACTACCATCATCAACGTCGCTTCCACTACCACTACTACTACCACTACCACTACCACCACCACCACTACCATCATCATCATCACCACTACCATCAACGTCGCTAACACTACCACTACCACCATCATCACCACCATCATCATCAACATCATCAACGTCGCTACCACTACCACCACCAACACCACCACCACCATCATTACCACTACCATCAACGTCGCTACGACTAGCACCAGCATTGTTACCATCACCATCATCAACGTCGCTACCACTACCACTACCACTACCACTACCATTACCACCACCAACACCACCACCATCATCATTACCACTACCATCAACGTCGCTACGACTAGCACCAGCATCGTTACCATCACCATCATCAACGTCGCCACCACTACCACTACCACTACCACCACCACCACTACCATCATCATCATCACCACTACCATCAACGTCGCTAACACTACCACTACTACCATCATCATCAACGTCGCTACCACTACCACTACAACCACTATCATCATCATCATCACTACCATCAACGTCGCTACCACTACCACCACCACCTACCATCATCATCACCACCATCATCATCAACGTCGCTACCACTACCACTACCACTACAACCACTATCATCATCATCATCACTACCATCAACGTCGCTACCACTACCACTACCACCTACCATCATCATCACCACCATCTTTGGATCTATCACAGTACCTTGAGTATCATTTCTGCTTTAGACATTCCTTTGGCTACTACTTTCGTGTAACTGAAAAAGAACGCCACCATGAACATCAGATATGGAGAATTTATAAAGGTTAATTAGTTTCCCTGATTTGCAATCTTTTTTACGAGCTTTCTTCCATTTTAAAACAAAATACAGAACTTTTACACTCAATCTACTCAGTCCGAAACCTCTGTGTATAAAAAAGAAAGACCATCCTGCTATCCCATCATACCTYAAGGGTGGTTTACGCTGGACTTTGGACCCGATGGATGGTAGATCAAGCAGTATTGTCTTCAGTGAGTGGGTATCAAGCAGCAACTGAAAATAAAAGACAACAGCATAATCTTCAGAGTAATAAACTTCATAAAGGTGATACGAAGACTAGTATGTGAATCATGCTCTTCACACTGCTCTGCAGGAGTAGTGAGGGGGTCAGGGAAGGACGAAAAGAGGGAAGGAGAAGGGATGGAGAGCCTGTCCAATCACAATAGAGCTAGGCTCCAAATTAGGCGACTGAAGCTCAAAGATCGAATTAGAATTTAGGAGTTGATTTTTGAGGAGGGAGGAAAACCGGAGAACCCGGAAAACCCTCGAAGCACAGGAGAGAACCAACAAAGAACTCATCAACTCACATACGACATCGAGATCAGCAGGACTCAAACTCGGGTAGCATTGGTGAGAGGCGGCGCATTAGCAGCACATGCCACTGGTGCTTACATCTGTACCCTCTCCCTCCCCGTGTCTCTCCATTCAAAGAGCCTAGTATTAAATCATGTTGCTAGGATACCTGTTCAGCTCCTACAGTACTGATTGGCTTACATCTGTACAGGTTGTTGATGTATCTAGGAATGAAAGAACTGCAAAAGAATAACAAGATTGGATGTTAGAAGAAATTTGTGGACCCATAATCATTTGTAAGTAGAAATGTTTGTTGATTCTCGTCTGCTTTGAAGATTTGACTCTCACTGGATTATCACGTGCTAGAAAGAACAAGACTTACTTTGCAAATTAATGATGAAATTAGGTTTATAAGCTGGGAAGAAAGTATAGAATAATTTTACATTTGTCACTAGCTGAAAGAGTCCCTGATAGGAATTGAACCCATGACCTTCCTTACTTTGCAAACTTGACACAGAATTGCGTGAAATATTTTCTGGCTGAGGAAAGATAATCCCTAACGAGCGGGATGCTGTCTTTGAGATGGTTTGATATGGCTGTGACGTAGGTGCTTTCGTCACCAACAGCTTCGACGGTCTGCCAATGAACCTACAACAGAAACAAAATAATGAAAACAAACACGAGGAGGGGAACGAGGGGGAAATACAGTGGCAGATGTAGGATGCTGAAAACGGGGGTATCATGTTCTCTCTACACCCCCTAGATTCCGTCAAGGTTTGCGCTTAAACATTGTTCTAGGATTGAAATATAGTGGGAGTATGGGCCTCCTACACCTCACTAGACCTGCCACTGCAGTAGTGGAGAAAAGAGGAGAGGAGAGGAGAGGAGAGAGTAGAGGAGAGGAGAGGAGATGTAAATACTTAATATCATACCTTGACCATTGCCGTAAGTGGAGCTTCGCAAGAATTTTCTAAATCTTGGACAATAAGTTGTATACAATTTGAAACGACACTAAAACCACAAAAAAGCATGAATCAACAATTATGAGTCAACCAATCAGCAACTAGTTTAAGGTCAACTTACCCGTGGAAAACGTCTTGTTCTCCACTCAACTCTATTTTTTCTGCAAGTTCGGGATCAATTTTTTCCTTGAGCTTGTCTTCCAACTGCAAGGTTTAAGCATGAAGACTATTAGGACATGCAATGTCAAGCATTTGTAAGAATTGTGGGAAGGTAAGGTACGATATAGTCAGGCGTATCACGTGATCAGGTATGGTGTGACAGGGTGCCATGTGGTCAGGTGTAGTGTCGTAGGGTGCCATGTGGTCAGGTTTGGTGTCATGTGGTCAGGTGTGGTGTCACAGGGTATCATGTGGTCAGGTATGGTGTCACAGGGTGTCACGTGGTCAGGTGTGGTGTCACAGGGTGTCATGTGGTCAGGTATGGTGTCACAGGGTGTCACGTGGTCAGGTGTGGTGTTTTAGGGTGTCATGTGGTCAGGTGTGGTGTCACAGGGTGTCACGTAGTCAGGTGTGGTGTCACAAGGTTTCATGTGGTCAGGTGTGGTGTCACAAGGTGTCATATGGTCAGGTGTGGTGTCATGTGGTTAGGTTTGGTGTCATGTGGTCAGGTGTGGTGTCACAGGGTGTCATGTGGTCAGGTGTGGTGTCACAGGGTGTCATGTGGTCAGGTGTGGTGTCACAGGGTGTCATGTGGTCAGGTGTGGTGTCACAAGGTGTCATGTGGTCAGGTGTGGTATCATAGGGTGTCATGTGGTCAAGTGTGGTGTCATAGGGTGCCATGTGGTCAGGTGTGGTGTCATGTGGTCAGGTGTGGTGTCATAGGGTGCCATGTGGTCAGGTGTGGTGTCATAGGGTGCCATGTGGTCAGGTGTGGTGTCATGTGGTCAGGTGTAGTGTCGTAGGGTGCCATGTGGTCAGGTGTGGTGTCATGTGGTCAGGTGTTGTGTCACAGGGTGTCATGTCGTCAGGTATGGTGCAATGTTGCCAGGTGTGGTGTGATGTTACTCTACCTGTTGTGTTGTCTCCAGGCAGTAATCAGCAGTACACAACACACAGCATGTCAGACTCTTTTCTTCTGTGCTGAACTTCACCTCACCTGCATCTTTGAGGATGCTGGCCAGACCACCTGAACCCCTAGAAAGATTCCAATACCACAGCTTTAATATATATATAAATAATCAAATATGATGAATTGCTTTTTATGAACGATAATATTTCTCAAGTACCAAAGCTTGAAACCCAGAATATTAGGTCTATCAGTTAACTGGTGGCGTGCTTCCCAAAACCAAATCTTTTGTCAAAGTCAACCAAAATGGCGGCTATAACGTCACATGCATCCCAAGAATATATCATCGTGCATCACGTTCACTATCTCAGAAAGGAGAGAACTGTTCCTCTACCATCACTGACGAGAGCGGGTTACTAACTATTGCATATGACTAGTTAAAAAACGTACTTGACAGGCAGATGGTTGCCAAGGACACGGACAGCATACTCCTTTAGGTATTTCTGGAATGTTGTTGTGAGGGAAAGTAAAGGGGGTCCTGTGCTTAGTTGAGAACACTGCACCATACATTTCTTATAAAACACGAAGAGTTCACCGGCACTTGGAAAGACCACGTTACTACCATCACCCTCAGGTTGGGGGATAGTTTGAGATTTGAAGTCCTGGACRAAACGATCGATCAACTCCGATAGATTTCTGAAAACAGAAAAAAAAAATGAATTGGAAAGAAAGAAAAAAAATTTTGGTCACCCATTTAGGTACTAACCCACTCAACCAGGCTGGACTAAGCTTTTTTGGTCACCACGTCCTCATGCAACAAATAAGTGCTAAACCAAATTGTACTTTTATTACATATTTACAGTTTCATTTTAAAAGTATTTTCAGAAATGTTTTCCCTACACTCGTGGAAATGGCACAAAAAACACACTGCCTTATCTAACATTTATCCTTCTTTCTTTTGTTTTTTGTTTTTGTTTTTGTTATAGCTTTTTTTTTTTTTTTTTGTAGAGCTTGATATATTTATTGAAAACTGATAAAACTTCTTCATAAACTGTCACTTGTGAACATCTTAGTAAATCCATTTTTATAAATTAATGGTTATTTTCTATATAAATTATAATCTTTGAAGCAAAAGAAAGATAAAATTACAAAACTCCTGACACATAAACCACAAATTTATTATCAAAAAAGAAGAAATTACAACGCCAAAAGAAAGGAGTTTTGAAACGTCCTGGCCACTTTTTATGCTTATAACATGTTTAGAATTTGGTTTACATCGTCCACATCTTTAGCAATGCGTGTCTTCAGCCCATTCTTATATGTAAGGTATGAAATCAAGGCGTTACTCCCGCAATTTTGATATGCGGACTTCAAGGATGGGAAGGGGAGACCATTTTGAATGAGGCGATTCTTTAGGGATTTCTTTATGGACTTTTCTTGGTAAGAATTAGAGGAGATTGCTTTTGTCATCTTGTACTGGTGTAGTTGCACAAAGTAGGTTAGCGTCTTGGATGCTTGAGCAATATTATTGATGAAGGACTCTCCGTAGTGAAGAAGTAGTTTCTTTAAGGCCAGCACGTCTTCGAGGGCGTCGTGAGCATCAAAGGTTTCTCCAGTAGCTTCATTGTAAAGGTCGCTAAGTTTCATCGTACTCTTACGGTTCAATTGAGTTTTGAAAACAGGAAGGGAGTCTCCAAAATATATCTGCAGCTTATGAAGACGTTTCATCAAAGGCTGGACGCTAACCAGCTCGTTCACTATCCGAGGAGTGTCAAACACGTTCGCATTGTGGCCAATTAAAAGCAATGGCTGTCCTTCGGCGGTGTTCTCCAAGAAGTCAACAAACTTTTTTAGCACGGTCGATAGAGGTTTTGCATGGACTGGGACCTTGTTTTTGCAAAGCATCCGCTGTCCATTCTCATATCTGATATGCAGGTTGTGAACTTTGGAAGAACTTGAACTGATACGCCATTTGGGCATGATGTATGAATTGAACGTCTGTCTACTATTAAGAACAACGCAGGACAACTGCAGGATCTCTGCATCCATTGACAAACCACTTGTCTCTATATCAAACACTATTAACTTGTGAAATCGTTCGTTACGACAAGTTGGTGGTATGGAAGGCTTTACTAGGCGATGAATCAACTGATTTTTGTCTAGAAATGCTTTGACTTGCTTATATCCACTCTGATCAAGAGAGAGTTGTGCAAATTCCTCCTGCGTCACTAGAATAGGGAATCCTGTTCTTGAGCAAGAAGTGGTACCTTTTCTTTTTTCTTTGCGCTTAGTCTTACTATCATGTTTTGACTTTGAGGCTTTCCTACCAATCTTAGCAGCTGGTCCTGATTTACTTTTGCAAGCGAGTTGCCGCTTACGATTCATTCGATCAATCTGGTTATCAGCCCCCCTTTTTTGTTTACGTTTATGCAGATAGATGTGGCCCTCGTTGAACTGAGCAACAGGAACTGCCGTTCGGAAGTCCCTGCTCCTGGAACCTCCATAGAACCTTGATTTTCTCTTTGAATTGTTCTTGATGCTCGACGAACCGAGGGTAGCCAGTTTATCAACAGCTTTATCTGTGCTAAACGGGAGGATTACATCATTAAGAAACTTGCGTAGATTTTCTCCCTTGAGATGACGATCTGATGACAGATGGGTGTGTTTGTAGCTGTGGCCACTACTTTCGAATTTGCACCAACCTTCGCATTTAGAATGGTCGCCAAATAAATGGGGCACTATGACCTGTAACTCAGCCTTCAACACCGAGGGATTATTCTTATGTTTACTTAAGCAATATGAAAAGCATTTTGAAAAATGCTCAATAACATTTTCTGTCATCCGGTCAGACCATAGACCAAACGATTTGCCTCTGACATCATAAAGATGTTTCTTAAATGCCCACAATGCTTGGTTGACATCGGACCATTTGTCAATGTTTGTGTCGACGTTTTTCTTTATCCTTGATAGAACAGAAGCATCATCTCCAATAACTAAGGAATATTTTTCTGTATGAAAAAACGGTTTGAATTCCACCAAGGGTTCCATCATTGACTTTGACGATCCTTGGTGATTCTTACGACACTCCAGTGCCATCACTGATTTTCCCTTGCTCAGGGTTTTTAGGCATTTTCTATTCCTCGTTCTTAAATCTGTATACTTGGACGTTTTATGCCCAACAAGTTTTCTCTTTTCAGTTTTGGAATGTTGGGATTTGTTTTTTTTTCTCCCGCCAAACTCCATAGACTCTTTAATGCCATTTGTACTTTCTTTATTTTCAATCTCGCTCCTTGTAGTAAAGATTTCTCCTTCCACTGGTTCGACGTCATGTTCAACCTTTTTAAAAGTCAGAGGTGTGGCYGAGGAAGAACGTGCATTCATCGTTGCCATATTAGACGTTCAAGATGAGTGACTCGTTCTCAATCCTGTTTGTATTCGACCTTATACTGCATTTCTCACCTGTTATTTTATATTTTTAACTTTTTTGAGCATCATTAAATATAGTGAAGAGCTTGTTTTCACTCCATGGGGATCTTGTAATCGGACCTCATGAACTTGTACTTATTCAAGAAGGCACCCATTGCTAAAGGCTTAGACGCGGTAAGTACGTTACTTAAAGTAAGTAAACTTGTATGCAAGGACCGTATTTCCAAAACGTCTCCTTTCCTTTCGCGCTGTAAATGTTTATTTTGAAAATTGTTTTTGTGGTTTGTGTCAGGCGTTTGTAATGTGTTACTTTAATGATTGTCATTTACATACAAAAATTAATTATTGATTAATTTATAAAAATGGATTTAATGGATTTTGCTCTAATGATTGTCATTTATATACGAAAATTTATTATTGATAATGTTAATTTATAAAAATGGAATTAATGGATTTTGCTCTAATGATTGTCATTTATATACAAATATTAAGCATTGATTAATTTATAAAAATGAATTTAATGGTTCTAAAAGTCTGCTTGCTTTAATGATTATCATTTATATACAAAAATGAAGTATTCAATCAATCAAAATGCATTTAGTGGATTTAAAAATCTGTTTACAAGCGACAGTTTATGAGAAAACAAAACAGAATTTCTGCTACATCCTGATCTGTAAAGTATCGAGTTCTTGATGAAAGTACCCCACCCTCCCCTCCCCAACAACAAAAAAGAAAAGACAAAATGATGAACGTAATATACGCCAATGTGTTATAGACCATTTCCACAAGTGTAAGAAAAATGTTCTGAAAATACTTTTGTAAAGGAAAATGGATACAATTTTGGTTTGATAAACGGTTCTTATTACAAGACTTTCTTATAGCAAGCGCACCTCCTGATTTATTAATATATTCCACATCTTGAAGTTAGTGCTAGTGTTGTATCTTCTGGTCTAAGAACTTCTTCAAAATTGCTCTAAATAAGATGGATAGGCCATTTGCAGGACATAATCACGTGACTATTACAGGTCGGCAAAAAAATTCGGACTTTCTTTATTTAAATAACTTTTGCTGGATTACTAATGTCATATCCAAAACCGTTTCCAAAATGTTTTTACCCTTTACTTGCAATCCAAATTTTGTTTGCAATCCAGCAGAGCCTTTCCCAAGGGACCTTGGTCAGAATGTTGATTTTTTTATCAAAGTGTTTTATCAGCACGTGACTGTTTTTGCGAATTGGCTATTGTAATACAAGGAACTGATGCGAAATTAAGAGAATGGCACTATTTCAATGAAAGCTGTTTCACTAACATTTTCATAAAAATCATAAAAATCAACTTTCTCCCATAATTTTTCGTTTTGTAGTTTTTACTTCAGCAAACTGTAAAAAAATCCGTTCCAAGTACATTTTCAAGGAATAATAGGTTTACTAAGTTCGTTTATCTAAAAAATCAGGTATGACTAAAATTTTGAATAGAACTTATTACCAAATATTTACTAACTTTTATCAAGCTTCCTACACAAAGAAGCCGCCAAAGAAACCGACAAATTTTTTGTTTAAATTTTCCAAGATGGYGGCTATGGCGTAACACGCGACCCGCAGTTTTAGGCTAAAATGTTAAAACATCGAAAATACAAAGAAAGTTAATATAAAAAAGAAGAAGAAGAGCATTTAAGATGGACAGTGAACAAGATATAATGCGACTGTTTTCGTCTTTCACTTATACTAGTTGAACTCAGATTTCGCATTTTGTATATAGTAGTCCGGCGAAGTATCATTCTTCTAAACACCCCTACGCTGGTCCTAAGACAGCGGAAATTTAAAAGAAAACACCTGATTGTTTTCACTCAAGGGCACCTTTTTAGACGTCTAAGAGGTATTCAAATTTGTATTTGTTTTATAAAATGAAGTTGTCGGTTTGGTGAAAGGATTTCCGAAGGTCAAGGTAGCAAGCTCGTCTGATTGACACAACGACGGTTGAGTACTTTTTTGCGACAAATATCATGAAATAAAATGCAAGTACGAACAGGAAGTTGTGATATTGAAGGGTTAATACCAAATTTAAGAAACCGTTACTCCGATAAACGCCATTTACAAAGAGGACCCGAAAAAAATTATCGTCAATAAACAGTGTTTTTCTTTTAATGTTTGTAGGAAATTGAGGGGGGATCGGGAAAATTTTGGTAAGAAAAAGGGGGGATGGGCAAATTTTTATCAGAAAAATGGGGGGATGCACAATTTTTGGAAGAAGTTACAAGCCTTGCTTAGGGGGGATCGTATTGTTTTGAATGACTTTAAGGGGGGTGTTAAGAATTATTCTGGACATTTCAAATTTTCACCTGCCCCCCTCCCTTTGCCATACATTATGAACGCAGCCTAAATGGCTTTTGTATTCGAATGCTGTGATTGGACAACATGCGTCTTTATGCGCTTGATTGGTTCAGGTGTGGAAGCCCTTCACGAGTCATGGACCACAAAGTTTCTAAGCACTTCGTTAAATCTTATATCGAATAAAAATGTATAATGATAAAAATATCAATGCCATACCTATCCTGTGAGTCGATATAGATGTTCAAATGAGGCTCAAAACATCGCGAAATCATTCCAGTAAACTTTGACTGTTTAAGATGTGGAGGGACCTGTGAAAAAAGACAGAAGAAAAAAAGGCTATATAACTTTTTTGTATTTCTTAACTTTAGGATTAATTTTTGGCTGAAATTCTCTTTGGAGTTTGACAAGGTTTTCCTTTTCTAAACGCCTATTTCTCTTAGTTTCTTTAATTTTCTGCTTTCGTTTTTGTTTCAAATGATTTTGTAAAAATACTTAGTATCAAACATTCATCGCCAAAGCAATGTTAACAAAAGACGACCAAGGATTGAATCCAGGGTCTTGTGACTGACGAAAGCATTCTTACCTTGCTTGGTGCTTCTTTCTTTTCTGAGACCTGAAAACATAGTATTACATAAATCAGCGCAAAGATATTTTTAAGTCGTCGAAACGACCAACAACTAAGGCAACCAGAGTGCTAAGATGATATTTTAAGCTTCAGATTTTTATATTAGTTAAATAACAATCTTAAGAAAGTATATGATTGAAAATATCTAAAACTCTCAGAGTTTTCATTGTCACAATTTTCGACTTACTTAAATAAAGAGTTTCTTTAGGCAACATGTGCCATAAATTACAAAACTTGGTACTTTGACGAGAACATTCTTTCATCTACAGCTTGAAGGCTTTTTCTTAAAAATACTATAAAGTTTGTACGCGCTAATGTTTCTAGACTTTCTCAAAGTCTGTTTTTCGCTGCTCTTTTTTCCCCGGCTTGGCCGAAAAAAGCCATATCTTAACGGCGCTTTTTCGCATAGAATAGTCCATAGTATTCCCTAGAAACTTTCAAAAATTCATTGAAATACATGTGAAGAGAACTGCTCCGAGAAATCTTTTAAAACTTTATACAAATACACAGCAAAATAATTTTAACTTACATCATCTTCGCTTAAGGCAAATCTCTGGGCCAACAGGTTCTCGAAGTTTGTGGTTCTTTGAATTGCGAACAACAGCAATTTTACCTCGATTTCTGAAGCACGATTTGACATGATTTTCGATAACTCTTTTCTACAAACAACAAACGACAAATGTATAAGAATTTGATTCATTTATAAAATTAAATTTTCAATCAAAGGGTCAACAAAAGGCATTTTTAAGGTTCCGCATTTCTGTTTAGTTTTAAGCGCTTTTACAATATGTAATTAAAAAGAAAATGTGTTCACGAATTGTGCGACCACGAGAATTTCCCAATAAATCAAATAATAAAAACACAGTTTTCTATTCCGAATATAAGGTTTTTCAATCCTTACTTTGTGATTTTGCAGAATTCTTCAGCTATTCTTTCCTCTACGCGCCATTCCGGTGGAAATGTGCCAGCGAAATCTTCGTCGAATTTGACTAAAGCTCTTTTGAGCCAAGAAAATCTTCTGTCTATCTTGTCTAACCAGGCAACCTATGAAAAGAGAAAACTAAGATAGTCAAAATAGCGAAAAAATGGCGTGGTATGAAGGTTAATATCATGACTCTTYGTATATAGTTTCGGTTAGAGTGTTGTAGTTCATTAGTGACGATTGGCTAAGGTGTTAATCTTCTTCGCCATTGGAAAGGTTAGTGTATTTCTGTAAAGCTGTTTGTGTGGTGACTTTATTACTTTGAGCGATAAAATTTGGTGATATTATATAGTTCTTTAGTTAGTGTTGATATAGGTAGAGTGATTTTATTTAAGTCCTGCAAGAAAACGACTATTTAGTTAGTACTAGTTGATTAAAAAAATCCACCCCATTAACACCAAGGCTTAAACATGTTTTAAAGTGGCTTAACTCAACAGGTTTGGAAAACTATCTACGAACACTGCACAATATTTGGTGAAATAATGCATGTAAACTATCCTTTGTCTTGCTGTGACAATATTTTAGAAAGTTTCATTATATTGTAGGTTTCCAGTTTCTCAATTTTTTTCTAAACACGTTTAGGTGTGAATGGTGTATAATACTAACTATTATTTCATAAACTATATTTTTACTGATTAAATAAAATCACTCTGGGAAATTGGGATTGATGGTGAGACATTAGTGGGATTTATTAGGGTGTTGAAAGTATGTTTGGTAAAGATTAAACTATTGGTAAAATCTCGTGCGAGGTTGGGTTGTTGGTGAGTCGTAAGGGTGGTGGTGGCTTTCCATATACTCTGCTTTATTTTTCACAAGGCAATACCCGGGTAATACTGCATTTAATTAGGCAAACTTTTTCATCAAAGATTTCCACGTTTTTTCACACTTCACAGCAAGCTTTACCGAAGTTTTGACAGTCGAGTAAGATTTTGGAAGAAAAATGGGAAGTGGAAAATGGAAAATGAGGGGGAAAAGGCAAAGTTGGAAGGCATGTAAATGGCGATCATTGAAAAGCAAAAGATGTTAAAAAGCCTTGCTGAAAGGCTAACGAAAATGTCTTACCTCAAATGTTTCGTTAAAAAGCTGTTGATATTCTGTAAACTGCAGCCGAACAAACCATGTTAGTAGCTGGTTCCTAAGGAAACAATTTAGCATTTTTAGCGTCGAATTTAAAAAATATAAGGTGTAAAGACAGCGGGAAAGTTTGATAATGAGCTGATCTATCAAACAACATTAGCCGTTTTTGTTTTATACATTGAACTTCGAAGTTGGTTCCCAAATACATTTGCATGTTTCAGTATTGTTAGAAAGAAGTTTGTCATGCAAATAGTAAAAGAACTTAATTTTCAGTTGAATAATTGGCAATGCCACAACACACTAATTCACACACTACACACTACCTCACAGCATCTCCAACATGCCATACCACAACACACCAATCCATCATGCCCCACCATGCCATGCACTATACACACCCCACTATACCACACTAAACCATGCCTAATCTACCATACCACACCATCTCTATCATGCCATGCCAAAACACACCAATCCATCATGCCCCACCATGCCATGTACTATACACACCACATTATACCACACTAAACCATGCCTACTCTACCATACCACACCATCTCTATCATGCCATGCCACAACACACCAATCCATCATGCCCCACCATGCCATGTTATACACACACCACCACATTAAACTACACCACACCATGCTTACCCCACTACACGAAATCTCAACCATGCCATTCCAGCTCATGTCAATACATGCGTCATGCCCCATTATGCCATAAACTATACACACGACACTATACTATACTACAATCATACTTACTTTACTTTAGGGTCTAGAACCTTGACAACCTGACATGCCTCAGCTAACAGAGAATTTGGTCCAGATGGTGGCTAAAATTGGAAACCCAGTTGATATCAGTAATGCAAACATAACACTGAAGAACCAGTACAAGCCTGAGCTTACCTTAGCCCCTCGTACTGATAATGCTTCTTCAAAGTCCTGTAAAATTTGAGTTCCAACTTCACTTTGAATCTTATTGACCCTGCAAAACACATTACACGTTTAGTTTTTGATGGGTCGTTCTCTACTAAATCAATTCAACTTTCTTTGCTTTGATTTGTTTCTCGTGTCTAATTTTTTATCTTTTCTTTTCTTTTCTTTATCTTTTTTCCCCATTTCATTACCTTTTCCTTATCATTCAGGCAATTTCTCTCCTTCATTTTTCCACTTTCCCTTCCTTTTTTTCCGATCCTTCATCTCCCTTTCTTTCCCATACAAATTCTTTTTTCCATCTCTTTCATTCACTCCTTATCCCATCCTTCCATTTTTCAATAAATGCACTAAAATCAGCTACTTACTTATCTGCCAACTGTCTTATTTGTGGAATGCTGAAGTACTTCTTGAAGTGTTCAAGAACATTTACGACTCCTTGAAGGAGGTTGGCCACTTCTCCATACTGTCGTTTCTTCGACAATACCCTACAATACATGTAAAAGCGATAATTTTGTAAAATAAATCATTATAGCAGTTTAGCGCGCTCGTAGCTRTGAGATTCACGCTGTTTTTTGGCGTCAATTCATTAAAACTTTGTAAAACAAAACCCGAAGCTAAGGATCTATTTTGAACTTCTGCTTTGTTTAATTTACAGGGCCCGCGGTTTACGAAGAGTGGATAGCCTTATCCATTCGGATAAATCTTTATCCAGTGGATAAATGTATTGGGTAACCCAGACACTGACTGAAATATTTAGGAAAATTAATGTTATCAAATTCTCTTGTAGTCTCATTTTTATCAGTTAAGGAAAGAATTTTTGATACAGCAGTAAACAACATCCTGGGCTAATATTATTTCAGCAGATGTTACATCCAAAATATCCTTATCTCCATTTTCTTAATTCCTTCCTCGTTCAGTATTGGCTTTTATAGAGTTCTTAATTGTTATTGAGAAGAATTCTCCCTGAATTTAGTTCTTTTTGGCATTTGCACATGCACTAACGATACAAAAGCAATATAGCAAATGAATAGGTGGAAACAACTGAAGAAGAAGTGATGAAGTAGATTCTGATTAATGACATTTCCTACAGCTTTGTACTACCAGATTTTTGTTTCTACAGCTACAGTATCATTAAAGGAGCAATCATGGACGTTAGAAAATGTTAGGGCATGGTAAAATATCTTTGGTGGTGCAATTGTGATTGTATATAACATATAAATGAATATATTATGCTTATGTAAACTTTTTTTAATTAAAAACGTTTGTAACTAGTGACAAACTGTCCTGTCTTTATTTAGAAAACATTTTCTTATGGAAACTCTATGGTACAAGAAAACTTGGACTAAATCTAGGCAAGTAACTTAACCACTGCTTGTGACTGTTGTACAAACTGACCTGTCCTTATTTAAATAACGTTTTGCTTTTATGAAAACTCAATGGTACAAGAAAGACTGAATATAGGCAAGTAACTCAACCACTGCTTGTAACTGATAGATGAGGCTATAAGCCGCGTGGGATAGTCTTGGAAATCGTATAAGAACGTGTAATAGGTAAATTACGGGCCTTATAAGAAACGACTGAAGATGAGTGTCAATGGGCCTTTCACAACTTCAAGTCGCGTAAAATGAGCCAGCTCAACTAGAAACCGTGGACAGCTGTTTTGGCCTGTATTGGGCCTCGTCAACACGGTGTATCTTGTAATTACTACTAACTGACCTGTCCTTATTTAGAAAACGTTTTGCTTTTATGAAAACTCAATGGTACAAGAAAGACTGAATATCTAGGCAAGTAACTCAACCACTGCTTGTAGCTACTGACAAACTGACCTGTCCTTATTTAGAAAACGTTTTGCTGTTATGAAAACTCAATGGTACAAGGCATGAATCTAGGCATGTGTAACTCAACCTGCACTGCTTGTAACTACTGTACAAAGTGACCTGTCGTTATTTAGAAAACGTTTTGCTTTTATGAAAACTCAAGGGTAAGTATTAGGAACCTCAGAATGAATCTAGGCATGGAGCTCACACCACTGCTGATCAAAATAAAAATTCTCTACTCATTTCTGTTATCTTCCTTGTCTTAGTTAAGTTTTTCCTATTTTTGAGCAAAAGTAAATGTCTTGCCAAATTGATTTCCTTATCAAGACACCAATTTGATATGACAACAAAGCCTTCCTGTAGCATGCTACATTTATTAATGTATTTTTATTAATGTGGAAAACCACAGAAAATCATATTATGAAAATGAATTAAATAAATAAATCTATATTTTATGTCCTAATTCAGGGAGTTGTCAGAGTTTTCCTAACTAGAGTCTAATGTTTAAGTGAGGCAACGCACCCCACGCTCTCACACACAAGATTAGGGCTACAGGGTTGAGCATGGGGTGCTCGTTTTTCAAACAATAAATTGGTGTACACAAGGGTGGATCCAACCAAAATTTTAGGGGGGGGGCTAATTGAGTTTATGGGGGGCTAATTGAGTTTCTTCTGTCAACACAACGGAAAACAATAAAAAAAGCTGCATCTTCAGTTTTGTTTTGTTTTTGTTTTTTGCTAAAGGGGGGCTTCAGCCCCTCTTTGTTCACCCTGGATCCACACTTGGTACATGAACTGTAGTATGAACCTTTTTTAAATTATGTTTTCTTCATTTCTTTTCAATTCAAACTTTCTAGAACTATTGTAAAATTAGCAGCAGAGTTGCCAGAACAAAGCCTAAGAACAGATGGGTTTTTATGTACATGTGTAGATTAAAAACATTTATTTATTTAATGCTTTGCCCGAAGGCAAGTGGAAATGCTTTTTTTCAAAAATATCTGTTTTTTAATAAAAAAATATTTAGGATTCATGTGATCATGAATGGGGATTCATTAATAGTGGAACRACACTTGGGATCCAAATGTTCATTATGGACACTAAAACAATGCTAAAAATGTGAATGAAAACCTGTTCTCCATTGCAACAAGCAGAATTTCCAGCAATGACAAAAAATTCGAGAAAAAAAAATCTCAACAAAAATTGTTCCTTTTGGACCTATTTGAGCTTTGCTTCTCATCCTAGTAATCTAAATAGAAAATCTAGAACTATCTAAGTCTACATCTACATTTTATTGAGCTGATAAAATTGGTAAGATATCACATCAACTATAAAACAAATTAGCTACATATAAATATATAAAATACTAAAAATATATAAAACAAAAAAGCCCCAAATAACTAGTTTTGCATAAAGCTAAAATATAAATATCTGCAAATCACGAAATAAATAATGATAAATAATATAAAAGATATATTCAATATTATAAGATCCTTATACTACCTATTGTAGGTCTCTAATTTAGACTTAAATAGAGCTAGTGTCATCGAGTCTACAGCCATCGAGAACTATTGATTAAGTGGGAAGAAACCTTGAAAAACAAATGGGTTTGCACTAAAAAACTCATGAATGTTTGTTTTTCCATTCTTATCTATTCAAAGTTCATTTCAAGTTTCGGAGAACACTATTGATTTATTGATGAATGTCATTAATTGCATTGTATACTATTAGTGTGCCGACACCTCCCACAAAGATGTGCCCGTTTCATATCAAGTTTCAGCAAACGATATTGTGCCAGTACTACTGATTGATCAACAGTGTCATTAAATTCATTGAATACTAATGTTAGTGTGTCGACACCTCCCACAAAGATGCGCAGGTTTCATACAAAGTTTCGGCAAACAATATTGCACCAGTACTACTGATTTATTAATAGTGTCATTAAATTCCTAGAATACTAACGTTAGTGCGTCGACACCTCCCACAAGCATGTGCAGGTGGTTGAGGGTTGTTATTGAAGTTGTTAAGTGCCGCTTGGCATGGTCCAGTTGTTTGATGTCCCTTGTTATTTCTTTAACCTGCAAAAACAAGACTATTAATAATTGAGCTTGAAAAACTTACAGCTATTCCAGAAAAGGCTTTAATTTCTACTGAAAGTTTTAAAAACCTAATATATATATAATGTATTGTTAAAAATAATGATAAAATCTTGATTATTGATGTTGAAAATTATTACTTTGAGTCTGAAATGAAGACAGTATTAGTATTGTCCTCATGATCACAGATAGTGAACATCTTGACAATGGAAATATGGTCCAAAGGAATAGTTTATTTAAGCTCTCACTGTAGTTAATACTAAATGAAATAAGATAAGTAAAGAGACACTGTAAGAAGCACTGTTCTCGTGACCTGATAATCAACATCTCAACAATTTACGGTAACCACCCTTGCTTGACTGAAACCTGCTTTGCAAATTCCCCAAAGGCTCTCATTACTATCTAATAAATTGAATCCGTAACAGCTTGACTTCCTATGTAAAATATTTCAGTAAAAAATTATCATTTTAAAAAAATTGCAAAGAAAAGATGGCAAATTTGGGTGAGAAAACCGGTATTTTAATAATAATTTCATCATCACAAAAGAACATTGTTTTTCTTGAATGCAATGTGCTGCGAATGGATTCCCCTTCCTAGGAAGAAGAAAACTAATAGTGACAACATCCAGGAAATTATCCTTAGTTGATTTGCTCTTCCTTGAAGAATATTAAAATTTTCAAGCCTTGTCCAATTTAAAAGAGCATTTGTGAGCATCCCTATTAGGGTACTCAGGGTTCCAGGCAATCGTTCCTCTTTCTTCTTTCTCTCTTTCACTTCATCTAATGTAGAGACCTAGAAAGGGACCTTGCYTAAGCCAGCAAGGTTTAAGGTTATGGTTTAAGTTGAAAGATACTGAGTTCGGATTTCTATGAAAGGTCATAACCTTGGGAAACAGGAGATAATAACTTTTGTAATGGTTTCTTATTCTTCACCTTGTCTTTGGTTTGTGCAAAGGCTATTTGAAATATAAGCTTTTCAAGTCAGCACCTCAGAATACCTTAACCTTTGTAAGTCCTATGATGATGTTATAGTCACAACTCACTAATAAACTTGCCTTGCGCCACTTAGTTTTTAGTTGCACAAGTAGAAAGTAGTTCTTCCCTTTTTTGGACTTGTCTTGCCATGTTTGAGAAAACAGAGTATGATCATGAAACTCTTTCAATATAACCCCATTGACCACAAGTTTTCAGATAAAATGTCACTATAATCGTGGTGATAAGCAGAGTCTTTTCATTTGATTTGATTGAAAGCATTTTCCTTACTTACACAAACCCTTTCTTTCCAGTTATAGAACAACCTTAAAGAGGGAACTCACTAGTCATGAATATAAAACTTGTCTTTTAACAAGGATGCACAAAACGTTTTTGGAAAAAGTTAGTATTGCTTTGTGGCAGAGCATTCATAACTCAACAACAACCTTGCCTTTTGTGAAATCACACACACGTATTTGTCTAGAGTAAATTAACTGTTCAAAGCAAATTTGAGTCATTGATGTAACTATATTAATACCAGAAGAATATTAATAATTTCATTTGACATGAAACTTTTCAATTTGTTCTCACTGTTGTAGCCACTTATAAGACCTTGTCAACCTTTAAACATGAAACTTTTCTGTCAGTGCAGCCAATATTGTAAATTTCTTGACCCAAAGCTGCAGTTTTTTGTTCCTCTCAACATTCAGTTCTTTGTTCTTTGCAATCATTTGTAAGAAATTTGTCAATACTTAAATATGAAAGTTGTACCTCTGCAGCCATAATACCCTATACAGTACATCTTGTAGATTAATTCACCTAAAGCTGCCATTTTTGTTTGTCTCATATGAATGTTATTTAACTTTACACTGAACATGCAGGGGAGTGAACATTCAATCTCCTAAGCCAGAGGTTCATGACTAAAGCACCTAATGTCAGATCGCATTGGAATTTAGGAGTTTAGATCTTTAACGAGGGAGTAAACCTGATGAAAAACTATTAAAGCACAGCCCAACACAGATATGACACTGAGCCAATGAATTGAAGCTGGGTTGCAAGGTTTAGAGGCAGCCCGTGTATTAATTTTAACGATTATTTGCTGAAGAGGTAATAAGGTTCAACTCAACATGTAACAAACCAATTTTTCAAACATTTTAGGTGTATTAAAGAGTAGTAAATCTTACCATATGTTCAGACTTGTCTGCCTTCTCTTTGATGTCTCTAATTTTTTCAAAAAGCTGTTTTATAGCTTCCTGTGCTTCTTCAAGAGCCTAACAAAAGGAGAGCACTAAAATGAAGCTTTTCTAGGCTGAGAATAATGCGTGCCATAGATATTTCAACGGAATGGAACTACAGTACATGTACCACCACCCTATCTTCACGCTATCATTAACAACCACTTTTTTCTTCATACTCTCAAAATTTAGCAAAACTTAGTTTATTTATTTTTATTTGTTCATTTTGGAAATAAAAAAATTATCTCAGTTTTTAACTGCGCAAATAAGTTATGTATAGAAAATGATGGAATAAAAGTATGCCAAGTTGCACAATATTGAATTTGTTATGCCACCTTGTTAATTGTAGTTTATTTTGCTTTGAAAATAAGACAGTGTGGTTAGTACCATTGAATGGGACATGCCACATTGGTTTTACTTGTTTTGTCTTGTTTTTAAACATAAAATATTGTGCAATATCTGCTGCAGTAAACATGTTTGGTCACCCAATATCAGACTGATGGTTCATTGTGATGATAATTCTTTGACATCCTGCACCAATATGAACATATTTTATGAAGATCAACTTGTACGTACATGTCGGCCTTCATGTCCTATGTTTGTCTGTCCTCTCACGACTAATCTTATTTCTTCATCAAGACTCCTTTTGACAGCAGAAAATAAAAAACATAGTAAAAGAACTGTGAATGAGATAGCGAAATATAAATATGAGGTACAAAGTTTTTCAATTTATTAGATAGATAGATAAATAAATAGATAAAYTTTATTTACCCTTAGTTTTACATGGCCTTTAGCATATACTGCTAATGAAGCGAGAAAATAATGAGCATAAAAGAAAAGAAAATATATCCTAAATCCTATTGCATTTTCTAAAGAAAATTTAGTTAGGGGTAAAACCCTGATTAAAAAATGAAGGGGGTTTCAATGACTTTAGAAATGATGTGCGGTTATTGAGAAAGACCAGTTTTACGGTTCAATTTCTGCCTCCAGTACTAACAGCTGAACCCCTTGAGGTCATTGCCGACATTGAACAAAGGCCCACATTATTATTTTTACACATTTCCTGCGATACTTGATTGCTGGATATTCAACATCGTAGTTCATTCAGATAAATAATACATAGTTATCTTCAAAGGCCAAAAATATACAAATCTGTACATCACTACCCAACTTTTTTGGAACTTTATACAATGTACCTTAYTTTTAAGCGCATCTTGTTGACAACATCATCAATGTTAGCTAAAGACTACAGGATAAAAAAAATATTTTTTAGAAAATATCTTGTAAAATTTAAGATAAAATAAAACAAAAGAACGAGGACATTATATTTTTATATGAAGTCTTTTCTTTTCCTCCCTCCCTAACTTGTTAAATTTCAATTCCATCTGTTTGTTAGCCATGGCTTGAACCAGCCCTGAAGCTGTTTCATGGTATGGATAAAAATTTGAAGGTTGTTGGGGCAAGAAGAAATTGAAAGCTGAGGTGTCTAATCTTTTTTTAACTCCTTGAGAGAAAAAATGAATAAGAAGTCCAAGGTGAAGGATTACTTTCTCATCATGTTTACGACAACTAATGTCAGACATCACTGTATATAACATCATGATTCATTACTGGAGATGAAACATAATGAAAATAAAAAATCAGGGATCAAACACATTACTAAAATTCTAGACACTACTAGAATAAAGAAAGATAAAAAGAGACTGTTTTACCATCAAATATTCTGTCGTTATGCTTTTTTCTTACCTGTTCTGTTGGAAATATTGAGTTTATATAATCAACTGGGTTGAAATCTTTACTGTCAAGAGGGTCATCACTTTCAAAAACCTAAAAAATTAAATTAGAGGATGCTAGTTAGGGTAGAAAAAGTTTACCCCTGATAAAACTGAGGCCCAGAAGATAGAGACAACAGTCTCTTGCCTTGTTGGCTGTAAGATTTGTGAACCAAATTCTGGTCATGGGTACCAAAAGAGAATAAGCAGTCAGAGTATATGGAGTAATAATTTAGTCTCTTGGTTCATGGGCGTAAGATTTGGGATCCAAATTTGGTTATAGATGCTAAAGTTTGGAACTTAAAATGGCAGAAGTTATGATGTACGTAAGTAGAAGAAACAACGGTGCACTTGTGTACTTAGAGGAAGGTACTGTACAACTGGACTACATTTACAAGTCAATCAATTGCAATGTACAGAAACATTATGAGAACTTTATAAAACTCCTTTCTTATTCCCTTTAAGCATCTAATATATATGATATCTATAGGCTATTCATCATTTTCAAAGAACTCCAACGTACCATGATTCTCTTGCCAAGGGATTAAGTGATTGCAAAATACATGTACAAAGTTATTGCACATGATACGGTAAGTAAACACGAATCACGAACTGAACATAATGTACAGTATGTTGAATCAATTTAGTTCAAAAAGCATCCATGCAAGAGACAAATGTAATTTATTTAATTTGAATCAGCAGGTTGATTTGCTGTAAAATTCCTTCTATCATTAGCTTTTATTCTTCGATTTAGTTTTACTTTTATTGTATTTTATTAATTTTTCTTCTTTTTTCTTTCAGACATGTAAGGGCTTCGGGCTTACAAAAATGATCAAAAATGTGTGGTAAAACAGAGTAAACATGTAAACACCAGCTAAAAAAGTATAAACCTATGGTAATTGAAGTTTGAATAAGGGTCATAATGCAAGGAATTTTTCACTTAATGATTTAATAATTAGCCACCATATGAGGCTGTTGTGCCGTAGTTCATGAATTCAATCTCTTATCAAACCATCATGGCTAGCAAGTTCATATCCATAGTGGTATATCCCATTCCTCCCAACTAATAAACATTAAAGAACTTTATGAGTTTATAGCATTTCRGTTGCATGTTTGATCATTTCATAAACAAAGTTAGGTGTCATTAATATCATAATTATCCATTATGTACAAGACTAAGTAATACCACAGATGGCACCCATCCAGTACAAGTCGAAAATTTTGACATCATAGTTGGTATGTTGTAAATACGCTAACCTACCAATATTTTAAACCCATATTGAATTTTGGGTGTTGTTTGAACCTTTATATTGTTAGAACAGTATTACTGGTCATATATCCTGCATCATACTGAGATACCAAATACCTATCATATAGTAACATAGGTGAACAAATACAACACTAATCAACCCCTTGGGATTTGTTATGAACAACACTTTCATCTGCCCCCCACTATTTCCTGTGTCACTTCGGACCCTGTTGTATAGACTAAGCTTGAAAACATTCAGGAAATACTGTACTATAGTCCATTGTTTATTACCGGTGTTGTTCGTGGATCATTGCTTTTGACGGAAGACCACTAAGGTATTGTACTATGATAAGTCATTACTACACATTGTGATTCTCTGGTGCATGCCGTCATGCTTTTTGACTGATAACTAAGTAAGGAAGCCATTTGTCACAGTAATGTAATTCTCTCGATTACAACAAAACAACTTTGGAAGATTCATTTTATCGTAAAACCATAAAATTAATTTAAGTTTTAAGATTAATTATTCCACTAGCCCACCCCTTGGGATTTGTAAAGACTTAACATTAATTTGATAATTATTAATAATAATAATGCGMTAAATGATTAATTTATTATAGTAAGTAAGAGTTCACCGCATTGAAATGACTGGAATCTCAAAATTTACGTCGATTTTAAACTAAATTCAGTTCTATGCAACAGCCAAGTCAAAGGTCTTGGTCATCAAATTGAACAGAGAAAACCCATTATTTTATACCAAATAAATTCTTTAAGACAAATTTAAAAGACGGTCACTGGTTAAATCATATACCTGTGAAATAGCTTCTTCGACTTCAGATGAATAAACTATTGGTTTTACGGAGGTTTCTTCCAAAAAATCATCGTCTGCATCAGGTGAACGGCTAACTTCCGCCGCCATCTTGGAAATTCATTGAGGAATCCGCTGACGTCTTTTGAGACCGCAATACTTTAGGATTTCCGCAAACGTAAAACTAGGCGAAAACTAGACTCTATCAAAACTATTTTAGATTCAAATTTATTCAAAAATCATATAAAATAGTATCAAAACGGTGTTTGATATATTTCTTAAGGAGGTAGGAAATTTCATGGTACAGAAAAATTAGATAAATAATTTTGTTTAACGAGTGAATTTTCGTTAGGAAGGGTGTTTGATATATTTCTTAAGGAGGTAGGAAATTTCATGGAATTTAAAAATAAGATTAATACCTTTGTTTAACGAGTGAATTTTCCTTAGGAAGGGTGTTTGATATATTTCTTAAGGAGGTAGGAAATTTCATGGTATAGAAAAATTAGGTAAATAATTTTGTTTAACGAGTGAATTTTCGTTAGGTTTCCTGTGTTGTCTTAGAATGAGACAGGTGTCATTATAGCTCTAGGGAGAAAAAATCCATTTGTCTTATTAAGAGGATTCAGAGACACAGGTGTATAGTTCCCCTTTGAAAGATGCCTATAAACTCGACTGATGTCTTAGCGATGTATAGTGATAGTAAGCCATACTGAAAGAGCTGTGTGATTTGAGCCTTCGAGCCTTCAGTCTTTGAGTCACTCTTTATATTCAGTTTTGTTTATTCATATTATTGACACTTTATATTATTCATATTCAATTTACACTTAAGAAAATTTTAAAAACTTCTAGTTAGTAAAATATGGGAAAATGCTGGCAAGCCGCGAATTCGGCTAGGGGATGCTGAGATGATGCGCCATTTTGTTATCGGTTCGAAGTTCAGGCTTACTACTAATAAAATTACTTGTATCACTGACAACAGATGGTAAAACTTATTATTATAATGCACTTGCGATTAAAAAAATWAAAAAAAATAAAATAGAATAAAATAAAAAAATCGCGCAAGGCACTCACTCATGCTGTCCTAATGACTTGCATTTCCCCAAGGGTTCTTGTTATGGATAGCAGCAGGTAGTTGATGGAATTAAAAAAATGCTCTGTAAAAGAAGAAGTTCATAACTATCACACAGCTCTTTCAGTTCATAACTAAGTTTTCTTAGCTTAGCAGCTAAAGCAAAGATAATAGAATAGCTGTTCCATGTCATGGAAGCTAGTTAAAAAACTACTTCAAATATTCTGGTTCCGGTTATGTCAAAAGCGGCAAGACAAATAACAAACCATTCGTGTCCGCGATCTCATTGTCCTACTTGTAGTAGCCCTCTTAGTTTTCACGATGTCCGTTCCTGAATAACATGAAACAAGGCAGCTTACCTTACTAGGCAACTTGATGAAACGATTCAAATTTGTTATTTTACAGTTATTGATACCTTTTATTGTCGTTTTATCATTGTGCTTTTGACGAAAGTTTACTCCGCTATGTTTTGTCTATCGTTGTTTACCTTTACCATACATTTACAATTTTTTCTCAATCTCTTTCTTTTTATTAACATAGTAGAGTTTAAATGTGAGGATTCCTTAACACTTTTTCACCATCTTTTTTTCGGTTTTCTTGTAATAATATTATTATAATTAAATAAACAGCACAAATAAAACTAAACCCAAATCCTGGTGACATAAATACTCAGCTCTAGATTCTATTGTATATACGCCATATATATATATACATATACATATATATCTTTATCAATTTCTAATAATATTCAGAGATAAGTATTATAACTGAAAGCACTATAAATTCTATCCGCTCATCTGTTTTCCGTAAGTAGTTTCTGAGCTTTGCCTATCCTAAACTACAAAATATGTACTATTATTTATTCAYGAAAGAATCCAGTGAATCGAGTCAATGTAATGTAATTAAACACTACAGAGCAGAAATCATTAATGGATATACCTGAAATAAGGCCAAAATTATTTAAATAGAAAAAAGGCAAAACGAAAAGAACAAAATGAAAAATATCTATGGAAAATAAGATTCCTACTTTTCTTTCTCTTTAGACTTTTTAAACATTTTTGTTAGGTTATTAAAAAGAGAGATTTAATGGGAAAGTCGCGGGTGGTAAAGAGGTCTTTCATACGTTTCACTGACGCTATTTCGGCAGGAAAATGGGATCACGCACATATTGTCACTGCCCAGAACTAGATTTCAAAGTATTTCAAACACCTACTGTTACTTATATGTACATAGATATCCATTCCTCTTAAACCTAAATTCATTACAAGCAAAGTTACTTGGTAAAATATGCACAGTGCTTTATACATATTACCCTCAACACGTCATTTTGAATCAAGTCATTAAAACAGTTCCCCCGGCAGTACCACATTTACTAGCCCTCGATTCGTACCTCTCCTTGTTCAGTTTTCAAGAGCAAGAACATAAAAAACAAGATTACATGCAGTGCATTACATGTAAAACTACGATATCAGTTCTTCAGGCGTTGAAAACAATAGTGTTTTATGTTTGTGTCTTTAACTCGGCGTCTAAAACGTTAAAAAATATTGTAAAATACGGGTGGCAAGATATTCATACAAAGTCGGTGTCATAAGATTTTWAAAAAAAAGTGGTATCATTTTCATTTACTGTTGCTTCTTCATCGTAAACTGGCAACAGGAGAAACTAGGGGCTTTTAAAAAAACTCGTAGTAGCAGGAAAAAAATTCAGCAGTCATAGCACCGTAGCATTTTCAAAACCATTTCTCAGAGGTGAGTTACAAAATGTACAATTTACTAGATATCTTCAAAACTGAAAGCCACATATTGCTAGAAGACTGATTTAACGGGTGGGAACGACTTGCTTGCTTAGGGGCTTTAATAAAATTTTAAAACACTTCAGCTTCTTCAGGCAATCGTACAAGGTTCCGACTAGATTGAGGTTGAAACCAAGAAGTGAYCAGCTTAATTATACTTGTGGAACAAGTTTAAGAGATTTTTTCGGTCTATAGAACCGTTCAATAAACCATTCAATATACCATYGTGACAATAGTCTGTGGAAAGTTTGAAATGAATAGGAAGGGATAGAATGGTGAGCAAGTTTTAATGGTCAAGTTTACTGAGCGCCATACCGATTTGAAACTAAAGCGAAGAACCTCTCTTTTATTACATTAGCTTACTAGTTCTGGGTTGCTATAGAAATAAAACTGAAAGAAGCTGTTGAGTATACCGAGTTCCTTCATTTTTCTAAGATCGACTTCCTATACTATTATAGCCTAGCTAAGGTCACTATTTCGTTGATTTATGTTCGTTGAAGCACGGATGATTAGCTAGTACAACGTCCAAATCGCAAAATAAGTTCTGTGTAATTACACCATAGGTTAAAGTGTTAAAGGAAGTTGTAGAACTTCAATTTGTCCGGATGCATGATGTTGGTTATTTCAGTTCAAACCAGGCCATACTGATTTTGTGTTCATTGAGTTAAAAACTAGAAAACACAGCACGGGATAGAATAATAAGTGAGAATGCAATATCTATTCTTCGTATTATTCCAAATGGCTACAGTGACTGTCTGAAACCTTGACAACGTAGCCAACGACCAGCCTTACTTTAGTTCTAACTCCCTACACGTGCAATAAATTGATTTTTATGATAAGACATCCAATTTAAAATGATATATGGCTTTCGTCATTGCACAAAAATAACAACAAAATGAAGGACAAGTTGTAATAGCTGAAAAGTGTTTCCAAGGTTTAATACTGTTAAAAGTTGAACGAGCAGGTAAGATTACGAGAAACTACATCATTTTCACCATCCACTCGTTTGCTTGCTTGGCCCAAAAACGCCTGCATTATTACAAAACGTTCTTTGTAACCCAACCATTTCGTAACAAAAAACAACACTGATTTCTTTGAAGTCACCCGCCTGTACCAACTTGTGGGCTAGCTTCACAGGCTGTTTTGTTTTGCTACGTACCTTTTCATAATAAACGTTTTTTTTTTCTCGGTCGGCTTGTTATTTTTTAACATACCATGTGTTATATTTTGCCATATCATGCATGCAAGTGTCATATACAGCTTAACGTAATAAAAAATATATATGATTTGCAAAGTCCAAAATTTTAGTTTTTGTTTACTGATAATGAGTCAAATATCATGATTATGGCGAATTTCTTTATGCATGGCGCTTCTTCTAATGATTCATTTAAAAAAATTCATTCTTTTCGCGTATTTTCAGCATGCGTGCCAATTTCTCGTTTCGCAATTCCTATGAAATATCATCTTTTTTCATTTTTCAATTTTCAATAGAAAAATTTTCGAGATTTTTTTTAACGGCTTCCCTTTGTAAGGAAGTCAAGTCAAGTGGCAAGCCATTCATTATGCATGAAGCAAAGTAGGAGTCCTTAACTAGTGCTCCTCCCCCCGTAACAGCGTTTTGAAGGAGTCAAGCAGCCGGAAATCCTTTCAAATTCTAGGACCTCACTTTTTTCTTTAATGCATGTCGTTCTTTTTATACGCGAATAGAAATGAAATAAAAAGTTTGATCTCACGCAGGACATTTCAATTCCATCATTAAAACAAACGTTTGTCCTTCGTCTGTTAGCACTGTACCATAAGTTATAATTTTGGACTTTGAAGTTGCAGTCGGGGGGGTCTGTAGTTGCCAGACAATAGGGAGACTTGCTATTATGGGTATCCTGTGTGAGCGTCTGACCGAGGCTTGGCCTGGCACAACACATCCTTCTTGAGTCTCTGTCAAACAACAGAAACAATGTAAAAAGAAGGACAAGAAAATTTCCTCATTTTCCACTCTACCCAAGGTAGGTCAAGTTTGCCATCTAATTTGTCCTAAACCAAGTCCATCGAGTTTATTTTCAGGTTAGTTCGAACGCAGATTCCAAATGCCTATATTTATATTCCGTAGACGCAGCCAGACTCCTTAACGAAAATTCTACGAGCCGTGCAAAATCTTTTTGTAGCTCTAAATCTTTTACTACTTTTTCTTCCACTATTCTTTCCACATTTCCATTTTGAAGACTTTCCTTTATCAGACCAATCCTGGTTTTAAACGCTAGCTTATTTATCCGTTACAGAAAAAAATTCTCTCGTGAGTAAACTTCCAGACATTCGCCACAAAGAACTCTAAGGTCGTCGTAATTATTCCTAAGGTTCTTGCTGCGGTACTGCAAAATCTAGCTTAGATTATTGTTTTGAATCTATTACTTAGCAAAACTGTAATCTGTAATGTATACATGTTTTTGGTTAGGGAAGACGTAGTCATGTATGTAGGGAAAAAAATATTTGGGGTCATTTTTTCCGATGAATTTATATATCAATATATCAATGTGTCCAAATCATCCATATTCATTATTCACTGTCTGGTATTATCTTGACCAAACCACAATGCCTTGAGTCGATCAGAATCTGGTTTAGAACTTCTCAGCTGCTGTAGATACAGGAAAAAAAGCTTAAAAAAAAGAAAGTGAAACAAGGTTTGAAAATATATTTATTACATATAAGTATGCGAGATCGTGATATTTTTTGAAAATAAATTTTTTGTTATATAATCCTTCTCAAAATGAAGGAGTTTATTTAGCTGATATATGGCTAATAGATAATTGCTATGGCCATGAGATCGTAAACCTATTCACTGGATGCTTTTGCAACATGCTTTTCTCAAGATTTGCTTGAATTCTCTTAAATAACAATTCAAAATTATGACTTCCTGATAACGGGGATGTTATAAAAAGTGTAGGTAATAATTGTACATAATCGTACATTTTTTACGGTGGAAGATTAAATCTAGGCTAGAAAAAGATATAAGACTTATGTACTTAACTGAGTATCATTTGGGAATATCCTCTCAACTCAAACATCACCAGTAATAATAAAATGGATTGGAAAAATCCTGTCTGGTCTATATATACAAAAAAATAAGTTAAGATAAGGTTATTTTAATCTCTTTAAAAAATGAATGGCCTTTATCCTTCTTTATTTTTTGTACTTTATTGATTGATCTAATTATTGGTAAATACTTTTTCAAGCAGTTAAGTTAACTTTATATAGACAGGTGAAATATAAGTTCTTTTTTTAACTTGGGAAGGAATATTTGGTTAGTCAAATTCATATTTTTATTTATATAAACCAAAATGGGCTTCTGAAATATTAGATACAAATGGCCTTTTTTGAGAAAAAGTGAAATTATACTATCTGATGACAAGCGGCGTGTTTCTGTTGGGATCTTTTTTGAGGGCAGTTATTAATAATATGTTTGTGAATATTTCATTGATCAGTAGAATGGATTTACCAGCATGTCTAAAAGGATGCACATGTGAAAGAGAAACCTTCAATGACTGCAGAAACCAATTTGAATTTCACCGACCAACAAACAAGACAAGAATGCTCAACAATCAATCCCTCCAAATGCAACCTAATAAACTAGTAACAGGTAAGTCCAAGGATAAATAAACTCGTTTTTTTTGTGTGTGTTTGCATTTAACTACTCCTTCCTTTCCTTGCTTCCTTTTGATCTTGAGAAGATATTAATGTCTGGGAAAACAAATAAGATGTCTGAACAATATGACTTTAATTAGCCGACAGCATTAGAACCAGGTGATAAAAATGTCTATATATTCTAATATGGTGTTTGGTAAGGAAAACTGAATTTCCTGTGTGATGCACAACTTTTATCTTGATAAAACACACCAATCTATCTAGTTTGTCAGATAAAGCATGCAAAAGGCAAACATATAGTAATTGTTAACCTATTGTGTTTATAAATCTGATACCTATACCAAAGATAAATCAATAAAATATAAGAAAGTAAACTAGGAAACTTGTATAAAAATGAAAAAATCTTGAAATCTGTTAATTTAAATCCTGTGATTGCAACGGGTTTTAAAAGTTTTATTTCACCAGATTTGTGTAGARCAGCGCTAGCGATCAGTATTTCAGATACTGTACTAAACATATATATGCGTAACACTATTAATTTCTAGAATATCAATGATGACATATATATTGTAGCAAGGGTATGTTATGTAACACAAAATTTCATGATAACCATGATAATGATAATTATCATAACAATAATGTTAACTTATTAGAAAATGCCCTTTTTTGAGGTTTCACTTAAAACATATCAAAAATTATTAGTTTAGATTTTTTTCATTATTTTATTCTTTCATTTTCAGCTAATTACTAATTTATTATGATGATGATCGAAATATAGGGAGTATGAATTGAATTTAAAAACGATCTTCGATACCAAATTTGAAAAAACTTAAGTTTTATTACATGGATTCAAATGGACTATCTTATTAGTGGTGTGATCAACTTTTTTACTTCAAGTTGCTTGTTCATTCTCAAACATTTATTATTTCATATTTGTTGTTTTTTAGATCCCAGAGGAAAGAGTTATGATTGTAGAGTTTGTGAAAGAGTTTTCAAGACTGAAGAACTTTTGGAAAAGCACATACGAAACCATTCTGAAAACCGACCCCACAAATGCCCACAGTGTCCCAAAGGCTTCAAGCAGCCCAGCCATCTTAGTCAGCATTTGCGAACGCACACAGATGAACGTCCATTTTTATGCAATGTTTGCAGTAAAGCATTCAAACAATCATGTCAACTCAAACAGCACATGAGATTACATACAGGTGAAAAGCCATATAAGTGTCCAGAGTGTGATCGGGGGTTTAAACAGGCCAGCCAGCTGAACCAGCATTTTCGATTGCACACTGGAGAAAAGCCATACAAGTGTATGATATGTTATAAGGCCTTTACCCAGGCAAGCCAATTACGATCACACAAGAAAACCCACGAACCCAAACCAGAGAGAAAAACTACAAGCTACAAACCCAAAAGTCAAGTTCCACATGTCAGTATGTCTCAATCATTAGCAAGTTTGCCGCCACCCCCTATCACAGAAAGAGGGCTTTACTACTCTTCCACCCGCTTAGGTTCCTCATTCAGTCTTAAAGATTTAGAAATGCCATCTGATGACTCTATACATGTAGTACAGTTGCCCATGTCACATCATCTTGGAATGCCGTTTTCAAATTGAAATCTCTTACGCTCTCTATCCCAAACAGAACTGCTGAATTTTGGTAAAGAAAGAAAATGATGACCAAACTTTCTGCAGTAATTGACAGCTTTTTGCCTTGCGTCGTTAAATTTTTAAAAACTGTTTTCTCATTTTGAAAACACAAAAACCCTCTAGAACATTAAATATAGCTAAAGCAATAATTTAAATTATTATTATGTAGGTTTCTAAAACCTAGATTATATTTGTTTGAAGTGTAAAATTTTATGTCAAAAGATGAATGAGAATTGTTGGCATAGGTTTGAAAAACCAGCCAAAATTTGTTGTTGAATGTAATAATAATAAAAAAAACCTGTCCGCTTCTACTAAATAGGTTAGATTTGCTTTGTAGTTTTATGGTCTTCAAAAAAACAAACAACAAAATCACTTAGATATTGAACTATTAACTTGAAACTGTTTAAAGAACTAGAAGAAAAGTCTTAATGTTATTTAGTTTATTTGGCTCTTAAGTGAGCTATATTATTACTTCAGAAACCTATAATAAAAAAMAAAATTTCTGTGCAGTAAATACTGAAAGTATGTACTGTATTAGAATAATCAACAAATGAGCTAGTCTCTGCAACAATTAAGAGTATATTGTTTTTAGTTAGACTTAAAGAATTTGCAAAAAAAGGTTTAAATAGTGTAAATAGCTCATGTAAGCTGTAACTAAATGTAAAAGTAAAAACTTGAAATTGTCAGAAAAAAATAAAGTTTGGGCAGTTTTGAATAATCTGAATGTTTTTTATATGTTTTTCTTCCAGAAACCGTTATTCTTTTCTTTTCTTTCATTTATTTCTTCTCTTTTTTAATTTAATACATCTAATCACAATACAGCTAGTTCTATACTTCAAATTTAAAAAGGTTGGTATTTCAGTTAAAATTCATAACATCTTAACAAAAGATTAAAAGAACACACAAAGAAAATATATAAATTAATGGAATGATAGTTTGAATAACATTGGCTTTAAAACTCAAACTGTATCAAAACGGTTTTGAAGGGGAGAATGTAAGTTGTTTATAGAATCTCATTTAACTATCGTTGTGTTTTCAGTTTGTTTTGCAGTTTTTAAGTAAACTCTTAAACTCCTCAAACGTCAAACAGACAATAAGATCACAGTATTCATTTCAACTTCGCGTTGTCTTAAGAATTTTTCAATATTGATTCGTAAATTTCATTAAAAGCAATTTTTAAATAGACCTTTGAAACGCTAACATATAATAGGTGCCCTGGTAACTGAATTGTCTGTCTGTCATGGTCATCGGTTGAAGAGCCAATCAACTTGTACTAGCGTTGTCTGGTTTTCATGTTAATGAGCAGCAGGATCAATTAAAGAGCAAAAGCCCTTGGGCGAGAATTTCTTTCATCAAAACAATCATATTTAAATTCTCAGACGATCTTACCCTCCTGGCCAAATTAATCAACGATTTTCTCAACGCTTTGAGCAGGTTGCATTTAAAATATTTTTGGTGAGGTGAAACTATTCGAACAGCCATGCTATGACCTTTTTTTATATGATGTTTTTATATGTTATTATTTCTCTACTTATCTACCCAAATTTTAACCATTCATTTATCCATTCATTTATCTATCTATTCATTCATTTAATACATCTATTCATCCATTCATTCAACCTCGTTCATCTTTTCTGTCTATTTCGTCTCGTCTTTATTCTTATTGTATGTATTTTTAGTTTAGTTCAATTTTACCCTTTACGAAAATTTCGAAGTATATCATTCGTTTTATTTTTCGAATCCTACTTTAAGGTGACTGCCTACTTTTGAACGTTTGATTTGAGCCCACGATGTGCGCGCGCTCAAAAACCGCTGAAAAATCTACAAGATTTTATTGAAGAACCATACGCG